AGAGAGAGAGAGAGAGAGAGAGAGAGAGAGAGAGAGGTGCTTCATCGTTCTTGCGTCGTTAATAAATTATACGTAAAAGATAAATATTTTATGCGAGTTTATGCCGCTGTTGTTTCCTCCTACTCCTCCGCGTGCACCTTCTCATCCTCATTCTCCTCCTCCTCCTCCACCTTCTCCGCGCCACAGACTCACGCAATGCAGCGCAAATAAATAGTTAAAATTGTTATATAAATGTCTTATGATGCGGCGCGTACAATAGAGCTGGGTTATTACGCAATGAAGAATTCCGGAAAAATCACCGCATCAGGCATGCCTTATCGCCGTGCCTGAATCACGCTAAATAATTGTCCGATCTGCTACTCAAAGCGGCCGCTTTAAAATCATTTTGCGAACGCCATCGTAAAGCCATGTGTATCGCGTAACAGTGGCTCGCCGTTAAAGAGATCTCTTTTAATTCGGGGCGCGCGCAAAGCGCGCCACCGGGTTAAAGCGCACGGCTTTACGACGCGCCGCGCGATAATTCTTTATGATAGTCGATTCGACGATCGATAATAATAACGACGTTGTGCGCGCGATTTCGAACGTACGTCTCCAACGGACGATACGTCATTGGTCGCGGCAGTGCACGCGGAGTGTACGAGCGTCCGCTTGATCGCGGCTATCGAGCACGTTGATGTATTTCGAACGCGACGTGACGAAATGTAACGAGTAATTATATAAGTGTAAAGCGTAAGACAAGCGTGCCTCATTACTTACTCCTCGCGACGGCGCACCGCGTTATTTTGCTAAACGCACCGTGTCATCATCGTCAGTATTTTCCCGGGCGGTTGCATAATTTCGTGAGGCGCGTTGCGTAATTTCCATTACCATGCATTCAAGCACACATCGTTGCAACTTTCATTCGTGCGCGGGATACGCCGGAATTAATATAAATTACAGTAAAATAAGACGACGCGCACGTGCATGCACGCACGCGCACACATACACACACATACACACACACACACACACACACACACACACACACACAAACACACACAAACACACCTACGCACGAAAAAAAAAATAAAAAGGAATATCCCGGAGCGAAGCCTGAACAGGACGAGATGCGAAGTGGAATGAGACGGACGCGACTCGGCGCCTTGGCGCGGCGCGCCAACGAAAACGACCGAATCGCACACTAATACGTTCCATTTCTCCCTTTCAGGAAGTACGACATCCCCTACCCGACGTTCGTCCTGTACGCGAATCGAGTGCACAACATGCTGGGTCCTAGCGCCGACGGCGGGGCCGGTGAGTGTTAGTTGCCAGTTTCAGTATCCTCCGAGAACGCCTCCGCTCCTCGATTACGACGTGTTGCTCAATGACAACGGCGAGATCGCGAGGCCAAGAGCGTATAGCGGCGAGGACGAGTTATTAGCGCCGGAAATATCGAATGGAGTCTCGACGAAACGAGTAGAGAGAGAGAGAGAGAAAGAGAGAGAGAGAGAGAGAAAGAAAGAATGAGAAAAATGGCCGCGAGAATCGCGCAGCAACTCGTTCAGAGACCGCCACGAAAATGTACGTATTTAAAAAACGAAAAGAGAAGTAAAGTCGTGCGCAAGATCGGCGCGTATGAAGGATATAGTCGCGATAAAAGAAAAATTCGTGCGAAATTTGATAAGTTAGATATTGTGGGAACGTATTTTTTATATTTTATATCCTCCCGCTTATATATATATATATATATATATATATATATATATATATATATCCTTTCGCGAACGATTTTAATTTTCTTTAATAAAATGTGAAAAAGAAATTTTTTTACATCCTTCGTACTACGAAAGTGCGACCGAGTAAAACGAAATGAAGAAAATTCTCTTTCGTCGTGAGAAAGACACTGTCATAAATCTCCGCGAACCTGAGAGAGAAAAAGAGCGCTGACACATCTGATTGTCGCGATTTACTCTGCGTTTCTTAATTAAACGATGAATATTCTCGATTTTTGTGACACCCGAATTTCCAATGCAATTTTCCGAACAAATTAGAGATCAGGCCACGCTTTATTAATCGGTTCACTGGTAAGCACATATATATGTGTAGGAAAAAAAAGTGCCACAACTGGTAAGCATACATATATGTGTTCGCTGTATATCTCCGCCAGTTTTAAATGGATTTGCATGAAACTTGCTACCCTCATGTTTCTTGGATCGCTGATTAAGAATCCGAGGTCAAATTTGAAAAATTTTAAATAGATCCAATATAGCGGTTTCAAGTGACTAACTTTGATATTCCACGGATACGGAACAAACTCGGTATGATATTCAGTATGATTCCATAGATGTTCCGTTCCCTAACGCACAAATTGACGACCAGAAGACGTTCAGAGTGCATCCTGAGAACGTCTTGGGGACGTTTCTACGTCCTCAGGAAATCTGTGGGACGTCCTCAAGAGATTTTGTGCTGTATGGGTTATTAGCTAATGAGATATTATGAATTTTATATTATAAATTATAAAATGAAATAATATAAAAATATATTCAGAATTGACTTTAGAGAAAATTTGACCCTGGAAATATAATAAACGATATAAAGGATATTAGTTTTGGGTGCAAGGATAAAAGTACCAGGACAAATTTGACCTCGAATTCGTAATCAGTTACCCAAAAAAACCCTTATTAGATAAGCTTTCATGTAAAATGCGGAATTTTTTGTTCTCACCAGTTTTGGCACGAAACGTTGGTTCCGAGTTCACCAGTGAACCGGTTAATGCACATCGTTCTATTTATTTTGATTTTTTCTGATTTTCTCAGTTTTACTCTGCGTTAGAAATTACAATAAATTGCTTTGTTCATTTCGCCATTCTCGATACTATAATGCAAGATTTTCGATACGACACTGAATGTATTCGCAACGATCAGCCCAGCCGTGCGCGTTCGATTCTCGTTAAGGAGTTTATTCTAGGAGTTTACTTTTAAACCAAAATATATACTTAAAATTATATAAAAATTTAACATAACATTGTCGCAGTAAAACACATTCACAGTTAAAATTTCACGGGACGATCGTCTACACCATTCATAATTTATAATTTAATGAATAGTATTCACTGTGCCGGTTTTGTGTAATGATCGATTGCAAGTCAAAAAACTGCTGTTATATGCTTTGAATAGCATTGTGCTGAATAAAACGTGACAAGGTAGTATCATGAAATCAGTTTCAAATTAACATTCATTATTCAGATAGCGAAATAAATATACAGGAACGTAATTTTCGTTCAATTAATAATGAATTTATGAGTAGCTCCCTTGATGAAAGTGAAAGTACGCCCTTTCGGTGTCCTGTAAGTACCTGGTGAATAAACTCCTTAACGCCCGATCGTCAACCCCGAGACGTTCTCAGACCCCGAGTTGGCCGAGGACTCCCCCGACGGTGTGGCCAATTGTAAATAGGTAACGGCCGATCGAGGAGAACCGATCCAAGAAGACTCGCGCGCGCTCGTAAAAGCCGCAATTACACCGTGCTATTACGCCGGCCCGGTTACGAGCGGACTTTTCACCCCGGCGACGCTTACTCGAGGATACCTGCTGGTTCATTAGCGTGTCACACCCCTTGTTTGACACACACGCCGACTCTCCATCGCTCGAACGTACTTTCGTCGGACGCTCAAGTTGGCGGAAACTCGATTGTCAAGTTTTTCTCGGAAACTATCTTCGCCGTCGCGTTCGCGACGCGGTTTAGCGCAGCCTTCGGCGGTAAATATGGTCGTCTGATCTCGCGATTAATTAACGGCGCGATCTACCGCGATCTAATATGAAGATCGCATTTGATACGACCGATGTTGGTTAGGAGGAGCGGCTGCCGCGTTTGACGTTAGACATGCGACGCGAGTGGAAGATTCATAGAGCTCGGGATATGCGCATTAATTTGTCATCTTCTCGCGAGAGCTTGCTCTCGATCGAGTGATTTACACTGAGAAAAAAGTCATATTTGTGACTGCGACTGCATAGTCACAATCATCTATCTCAAACGCTATTATAATATTGTTAATGATCATTTCACATTGTTAGAGAGACAAAAATATGGTCGATGCCGAAAATAATCTTTGGCCGGATTTTCTCAGTTGACATTATGAAAATCTTGAAACTGTAAAAGATTTATAAATCGCCGCATAGACAACAATATAAAAAATCTATAGGTTTGTGTCTGTAAAGTTTGAAATAAAATTCAAGAATACACACGCACGCGGACACACAGCCATGTGAGAGCAAAACGATGCCAGCAAAAAGAAAATTCTACTTCGGATCTCAGAGTCAGATCTCCCTTCGCAGCAAATATTCGCGGTCTACGAGCGTTGTCAGCGATCTCGCCCTTGCATTCATGCTTCCACTGAATTCTGATTCCGTGACGAGAAATGGCGCCGTTAGAGCGATATCGCGTGAAAACGCGAGGATCCGTCGTGGAGTATCGCGAGGTGAACGAGTAGCGGTGGGCCTTCACGATAATGTACGATCGCAGAGCCGACTTGCAGTGAAACGAAATCTTTATCCTTCTCCACTCCCGTCTGCTCTTCGTCCCATTTTCTCACTTTCCCACCCGCTTTCTACCTTCCACCTGTAGATCTGCGCCCGAAGGGACGAGGAAGACCGCAGAGGATCTTGCTGGGCGTCTGGCCGGACGAGCACATTCGCGGCGTGATTCGCGCCGTGGTGTTCCGCGACGGGCACTCGCCGCACATCGTCAAGGAGGAGCCGACCACGATGTACCCGAGCCTGGCGAACTACGCAGCCTGCAACGGCCCGGAAGGCGCGGTCAGTCCCGGCGCGGCGGCCGCGGCCGCGGTCGCGGCGGTCGCTCAAGGTAACTTGTCTCACACTACGTTCGTCTAAGGCGGATGTGAGAGAAAGTGACGGAACACTGGAAGCTTCTGACTCTCGTCCCATCTCAATGAGAGGGATTCGCGTGATAGGACAATAGATTGAGAATGAAATAAATTGAATAAGTATATGAAGAGCTAATCGAATGGAAATTCGACTGTTGTGAGTGATAATGATTCCTCCCATTGTCCATGGTATTTCAAGCAAAATTGGAACATTTGCCAAACCAAAACTCACTCAGTCTTTCTAATCGTTCACATGGCGTATGGATATGCGTATACATTATGACTATTGATTATTCGACTAATCTGTCATTTTGACACAGTCTGACATATCATATCTATCATATCACATACCGTATCATATCATATCAATCAAGAAATAATATAGCATCATATCAGATCATGTCATGCATTGTATCATATCGGAACACGATGGATACGATTAGGAAAGCTAGTGTGACTCTCTTGGCCTAGTAAATATTCAAACTTTATTAATACTTGGCATACATCAGCTTCGGAGGAAACTTAACTCGTTCGAGCTGAAGAAGACCGTTGATAGGATGCGATGAGAAAGTAATGATCGGAGAATTATCAAGTGAAGATTGATCGATCGAATGAGATTAGTGGGGATAACCTTTGTTTTAAATGGACTGAACGATTCTCCACCTGTTACGTTCACATCATACTACTACGATCAACTACAGTCAAAAGTCAATTTTGCATACCGTGCGTCTTTCTATTGTCTTCCCCTTTCAGAGCTTTGCGTGCTTCATATCAAAGTCCTGTTCTGAAACGTGTACTTTGTGCTTTACCCGTTCCGTCACAATCTTCACCAAGCCACCTGAGCTATCTTAAGTCCTACTCTGAGATTCTAATATCTGCACCGACTGATTTCTCCGCCAACCAGGTCTGCGACATCAGATGTGCAGCATGGTTGCGGCAGCGCACTCGCAGCAGCACGACATGATGGCGACGAACCTGTCGACGAACCTGTCGACGAGCCTGTCCACTAGCCTGTCGTCGAATCTGCAGGCAGCGATGCAAGCCAGCCAACATCACAATAACAATAACAACAGCGGCAATCCAGGCATCGGCGGTAGCAACAACGGCGGCGTCGGTCCCGGCAATAACAACGGCAACTCCCCGCTGAATCTTGGTCTAGCGAGCCCGGGTTCGGGCGGACCACCGGAAAGCCCGATGGAAAGCCCGCTGGCGAGCCCGCTAGGCCCGCTGATGGACCCGGGTCACATACCGAGCAGCGTGGAGGTCGGCATCGGCGTGAGCGGTATGACGTACAAGCCAGCGCGGAGCTTCGTCAGCCCGCGACCAGAGAATCTCTTCCAGGAGGACATCGCCGACCTGGTCAAGAGTCCGCACGGTCTCAAGGACAAGGACAAGATCCCGGTGAAGCTCGAGCCGCTCACGGACTCGCGCTGCGAATAGTAAGCCATTACGGTGGCGGTAGGTGCGGAAAGAACGACGACGACGACGAAGACGGTGCGTCCCTCGGCGTCGCTGTCGCCGTGGGAGAATCGCCGGTCGACGATGTGTGAGCGTCGACATCCCGACGCTCGATGACCCCGAGGAAGACCTCCCTCTCTTCGAGGTCGTCGACGGCGACCGAGGACCGTCGTTAGGCGAGGAGAGGGAGAAATATAGAGATATAGAGAGAGAAACAGAGAGAGAGAGAAAAAGAGGGAGAGAGAGGTGTGAGTGAGAACGAGAGAGTCGGCTCGATGCTTCTTCTTCTAGCGGAGGTATCGAGCCCCGGTTGCTCACTCGCTGACACCTCCTCGCGGGAGTTTATAGTATATATATACGCGACTCCGAACGTTGTACGCGAGCGCGATGTACTGTGCATACGAGTATGTTAAGAGGGAGAAAGCGCGAAAAAGAGGGAGAGAAAGATATAGAGAGGCTTACAATCAAAAAACCTAAAGGAGACATACACACAGAGAGAAATAGAAAGAGAATGAAGAAAATGGGAGAAAGAAAGAGAGAGAGAACGCGGATGAGACAAGCGAGTACCGAGAGTGTCTCAAGCTCGTCTCGCCTGGCTCAGAGCTTCATAGAAGGACGAGCGAGCGATCGTGGATCGTTCTAGACGAAGATCGCTCGGTCGATCCTTCGGTAGGCAAGAAGGAGAAAAGGAAAGAGAGACAGAGAGAAAAGAGAACGAGAGAGTGAGAGGAAGAGAGACAGAGAAAGAGTAAAACCTTCTTCTAGCAAACGTAATATAGCTATTGGGTCGCCAGCGCCTCGCGAGCGCCGCTACCTTTTTCCAATCTAGATAGTCGTGTCATCGTCGTGTCGTACGGACTATGTACATGTAATAAAGGTAAAACCCACACGCCACATACGAGCGCACATATATACACTATACAGAAACACATACACAGACACACAACCACATATACACATGCGTAAACGAGCGCGCCTCCACACAGGATACAGACAACTCGAAAAAAAATTTATACCTACGCATATACGATAACTGTACTTTTAATGCCAAATGTATAATAACTCATAAGAGGTCGCCTACTGCCGATTAATGATCGATTACTCGAGACTGGTGCCGACGAGGGAGCAAGTCCACGAGCACAGCTAATCGCCCGCACTGTCGAGTCCTTACACGGCGTGTCGTGTAAATCATTTGGTCATATGTCCCAATTTTCGGACGTCGCAGAGGTTCAATCTAAATTTTGTCCAGCAGTTGAGAAAAATTCATCTTTTTTTTGCAGGTGCAAAAACAAGGTGTTTAACATCATAAAATAATTTGAATTTCGGGGTAAAAAATTTGGACGTAACTCTTGATTTCTTGATTTCGAGCTATTATGAAAATTGATACGTTGATTTTTCTTTTTTTTTCATTGAATTACTTTGAGAATACCGCTTTAAGTTGCTTTAACGATAGAAATATCTCTTTCCCCTTTTTCTTCGTCGAACGTATCTTGCAGAGAGTAAGTTTCAAGCGTCGTAAATTTCGCCGCGAGTTCCGGCGAACAATGTAAAATCTCGACTCCGTGCACGGCACTTTGCGTAAGAGCGCGATCCTTCTAACGCGAGGCAGTAAGCGACGTCACCGATCTAAGCTCGATAAGTAAGGGAGATGTACAAAATTCACTATGACTGTCTACCAAGAAACAAACAAGCAAAAAGAAGATTAAAGAGCGAAAGCGAAAGAAAGAAAGAAAGAAAGAGTGATAGAAAGAGAGAGAGAGAGAGAGAGAGAGAGAGAGAGAGAGAGAAAGAGAGAGAGAGGGAGCGAGAGAGGGAAGAAGTTACGACAAAGTATAAGACGATGGAAACAAATTCAACGGCTTATAAAAGCGAGCACACTCTAGGCCGAGATGATCGCTGTACGTTATTAAGTATAATGATTGCCTTCCTGCCATATTTGGGGTATGCCAAGTATAAAAATTATAAGGTTTAGGGATTAGGGGACGAGAAACTGTGGCGACACGAGACACGTGTCGAAATTTCGGTGAGTTCGGTGACCACGAAGTGTGCATCGGTGCGAGACTGCGAACCTGAATACGAGCCTGAACGTGCGAGTATGAACGCGAGCCTGAACGCGCGTATGTTGATGAATGTGAGGGAGAGGAAGAGGAAAAGAGTAGTACGGAGCGAAAATGGGAAAGCGCGAACGGATGAGCGAAAGAGACTTGCGTGCGTGTGTTCTTCTTTCGAAAGATCGTGCTATTTTTCAAAATTTTACACGTTGCGCGTGATTTCGCGAAGGGACCCCGAGTCCTCGACAATCGAAGAACGACCCGAGTGCCGACCGATGTTAAATCGAATAACTGCAAACATTATTGAAAATTTGCGCCAAAACGGACAGAATTTATTTTTACCGGAAGAAACTCCACCACGATTCGTTCAATCTTCTTCGCTGAATTCAATTAATCCGGATTTGATTTGACGCGAGAATATCTTTTTGCATAGGTGCTAAAATGATAACAGATCGATATTTTTCGCCAATCTGATCTATTCGTCGTGAAAGTCGGCACGCTGGTTCGAGAGAAAATAAGAGGAGAGAATGCGAGTGAGGATGAGTGCGTGCATGTGCGCACGTGTGCGAGAGAAAGAGACTCCTTGTAAGTGTAAAAAGTAAACAAAAAAATTTTTCGAAGTGGCCTTCGGTGAAAGGGAAAGATCATCGCTTTTCGCTTTTGCTCGTACGAGGCTTTTGCGTAACGAGCCATCCGTGTTATCCGTTTGTCTGGGAAACTTTACGGGAGAGTAGGTAAAAAAAAAGGAAAGAAAAGAAACAAGCAAACGCAGGAGGAAAAAATTGATTCTCGCGCCACGCTCATGCAGCCAGAACATTTCCGGTAACGGTTTGGGAGAGGAGAGGATAGCAGAGTAGAGAAGAAGAGAGAGATGAGGGGAAGGAACGAAGAGTAGATCACGCGTTCGTAGCACGTATCGGGGTGATTAGAAAAAATGAAACATCGGGCAAACCAAAAAACGATAAGGAGAAAATAAAAAAGAAGAAAAAAATAACACGTTATTCTTGATACAAGCGACTTTTGTGCGAAAACGCGACGGTGGTCGCGAGGCGACGTTAGACGGCGATTTATTAGTATACGCGTTGCAATATAAAACTCGATCGACCACGTTTTTCATTTCGGCGGTAAATCGGAAAACGCGAGTTCTAATTACCATTTAGGCATAATGTGTTCAACGAGGAAAAAGGTAAATTCGCGCGAGACGTGCGGCGGCAAAAAGAGAACAAAGAACAGATAAGACGTTTTTAGGCGAAAAACGAGGGAACTGAAATTTAGTAGCAGCAGAAGAAGCGCGAAACATTGCGAGACGCAAGAGAGAAAGGGATAGAAAAAGAAAGAGGGAAAGAGAGAGAATGAGAACGAGAAAAAGAATACGAGGTCGCGAGAGCGTGGGGAAAAGAGCGAATGCGAAAGAAATTTAAAATTAAATATTGTATAAAAAGAAAAAAAGTAGTAAGTGCCTTCCAAAAAAAAAAATTTAAGTGTCCCGTAGACCGTGACCACTTGACTAAGCGACGAAGAAGTCATTCGAAATTCTGCTGAATGCATTATTCGTGAGATCACGTTTGTAAATACGTTGCGTATAAGATCGACATGTCGTTCCTTTCCTCCGACACGATCCCTTCGTGTATCTTTACACCAAATAAATTGCCGTTATTCACGATTAAACGTCCGGCGCGAAGTTAAACTGATAATTTGAGGTAGAGAACTCACCACATATTTCTGCGACCCAGGTGCCTCTTTAATTTCAAATCGCGCGATACTAACGCGCTTAATTCTTAATTACGCACGATATGATACAAACGTGCCGCAGAATATTTGTTTTATCTCTGAAGATCGCAAGTCCATAGATTGAGATTGTTATCTAAATTCGTATAGCTTCTGAATGAATATTTTTTCAATTGTTTCTGAATCGTTCGCGGAAAAGGTTCCCTTTTCGAGTTATTCAATTGTTGTTCGCCAAAAGAAGAAAAATAAGAAATGATCGTGCGACAAGTGAAATAGTCGGTTAAACCGGCAAACTCCTACGAGTGTCGAATACGCAATGTGTCTACGAACTCTGTGTGTGCATGTGTGTTTGAGTGAGAGTGTCCGAAGCAACAAACTACCCGACAAAATTTGTGTTTTGGATCAATCCACACAGGTAATACCCTGAATGGCATATTCTCGAGATGTTTTCCTTCTTGATTTCCCGGCAGAAGAAACAGAGTCGACGAAGTAGTAGATAGAAGGAGAGAAAGTGAGAGAGAAAGAAAGAAAGAGAGAACGAGAGAACGAGAGAGAGAGAGAAAACGAGCGAGCGAGCGAAAGAGAGAGAAAGAGAGCGCGCGTAGGAGAATAAGAAAAAAAAAATAAAAAAAATGAAAGAGGATCACAGCTGACCGACACAGGAGAACGGCTATTTCGAGAGGACCTTTTCGTTTCCACGTTTTGATATATACATATATGTATCTGTGAACAGATGATAAAAAAGAAATACCTATATTACATACCTAAGACGTAAGTGAACAAAAAAGCATCTAATACGCTATTATTGATATAGAACACAAAGTGAATATATATATGAGAAAAAAGTATATTATATATATATAAATATATATATATATAAATATAAAAAATTGATATATTGATGCTGTAGGGTTATACTGGCTGAGTGCGTTTATTGCATTAGAAAGAAAGTGTGAGAGAGTGTGAGCGTAAGAAAGAGAGAATGAAAGAGAGAAAGAAAGAGAGAAAGGGAAAGATAGAGGCCGCGGTTCTTTTCCGAACGTCGTCGAGGACGAAACAAAAGTTCACGGGGAGAGTTTTGCGCTGTAGGCGACGCTGGAGGTTTTAGAATCGAGAAGACAAAGTAGCTCGTAGGGTTTTTATCGGGTCGACAAGAGGACAGATGTGCGTGACTCTGGCGCTACCTTAGAGAGAAAGAGAGAAAAGATAGCCAATTCAATTCAGCTCGCGGACGCGCGCGTCCCGTTTATCGACATTGCGCACACTCCGCGAGACGATTTATCCCTCTTTTGCATTCCCACGAAATCATGAAGTCGCGATATCGTATCGAATTGCCGACACACGATACACCTTAACGAGTTTCGCATAACATTTCGTATTTCCGCAACTCAACACTACGCAACGCGGCTCGTTGAAATCCCAATTTATCGTGCGCTGATCCTAGCCTCGTACGAGAAATATTGTCCGGAAAACGCTCGTGTTGTCCGCGACGCGACGTTTTCGAATCAACGGGCCCGCAAGAGACCACGGAATAGACTGTCGATACGCGGGACTGCTCGTCCAGGAGTTTCAGATCACACGCATGCAGAGACCACCGAGATCGATCGACGAGTGCTTTCGTTTCCATGCATGTGAAAAACCTTTCCTTTAATTGATATCGTTATTGCCGCGGTGAATGTTGAGAATGAGAAAGAAAATTAAGTGAGAGAGAAAGAGAGCTGCGAGAATTAGGGAGCGAGAGAGCGTGAGCGAAAGCGAGAGCGAGCGAGCGAGCGAGCGAACGAGCGAGCGAGTTGCACAGCGAACGACAGCCGACTATAACAGAAGCATAGTAGTCTCCGTACCACACGATTTATGACTAGTTTACAGGACGCGTGCCGACGACGACGCGCGCTTTCTACGAAGGAGGAGGATGAGAAAGAGGGCAAGGGGAGAGGGGAAGGAGAACACCCTGATCGCTCGTGCGAGATTGTTCCTCCCTCGCGGTGAGTGCGCGCGTTGCGTGCGGTCGCGCGATGATACACGCCGCGTTTCCGTTTTCTCTACGATAGTTAACGTTTAAGGGACAATTTAGATGTGGCATCTTTCATTTGCGAAGACTATTAGTCGTGCAATAGGATCGCACACTTTTCAGAGCCCGGTTATTTAATCGCACACGAGCCCAAGTAAAAAATACAAATCAACACACACACACGTACTCTAACATGTGTATACATGCACACATAGAAACGTATACAAACACACACGACACATATATACATCCACACTTGCATACATTTACACTCCGAGAAGTCGAGAGAATGTGGGGACACACGAGATTGTTTGTCTTTACTGTAAATAGGAGAAGCAGTATGTACGGCAAGATTCATCGTTATCACTGTAACATGTAACATATTTATTTCGAGGAGTTCTCGTTGAGTTCTCCCGTTTAAGTAGCCTAAGATTCGGATTTTGTTTCGAACCTTCCGCCCTGCCGGTCGGAGGCGCAGGGCGAGATCCGCCGCGAGAGGCGCCTTTCGGAAGGGAAAGAAAGAAAGATTTTCCTTTCCGAAAGTGTTTTCGCGCCGTGTGCGAGTCGTCGGTGAGCCCTGAAGCCTCCGCACCTCGGTATCGTCTCGATCGACCGCGAAGATGAGACACGCGACGTCCGCAAATGACGGAATTTGTTTTGCTGACGATTAAGAGTGAATTACTTATCGAAACCGAGCGACTCGAGATCGAAGGTGAATGTTCGAATAATTTCGCGCCGCGACTGGATGTCTTTCCGCCAATTTTCTTCCGCACGAGACCGCGCTTTCTCACGTGGTCATCGCATACGTCGTCAACGTCGCGTGTTTCGGCAATGTTGCTCTCAATCCGACCGCCGTCTTCATTATCCGCACGAGGTAAATACGAAAGAAACCCCGTACGTTATTTAAAAGTTTAAGGTATTTAAGCGAGTATTTACGATTACGATTTACAGATTTATATTTAGAAACGACGAGAATCCCCGCGCACGACGAGAAAGAAAGAGAGAGAGAAAGAGAGAGAAAGTGAGAGAGAGAACCGCGATATATGTATAAAATATATATATATATATATATATATATCTCGATAATTATATAGTTTAGAAATTTACTTCGACTGACGAACTTCTAACGAATCGTTTCGCCGATTATGCAATTTAGAAGTTTATCAGAGCAGCGGCATAGTCCCGCAGCGAGCGATCGTTGTTGTTGTGTTAACGACTCGGGAGGTTGTTTCTCCGCTCGTGTGAATCTTGCGTGCGCGAATATGGAGGGGAAGAAGCGGCTCTTCTCCGGACGGTTTCGCGTCGAGACGGTGCACCGGCCGGGCGGAATCGTCGCGATCACAAACAGCGCGCTCGTCGCACGTGCTCGGCGGCGAGAAACGGCAATATTTTATAGTTACTATCGTTTTTATTATATTCCCGCGCCTTTTTGAGAGGAGAAGATCCATGAAAGAAAAAAAAAGAGCAACCCACAAAACAAGAAAAAAAAGAATACACACAAAGAGGCAAGTATTTCTTTTTTCAATGTAGGTAGCCCAATTTGTTGTTCGGATAAGTCGCCCGTACCCGATATAGTTGTATATCGCGATAAAAGTGCGCGCGTTGACAACGCGCGCGACGATGTAGCCGTGACGACTCGTGAAACGACGTTCGTTCCCCGATTTTACTTCGTGAGCGCGACAGAAGACGTGTGTGGTGGATGATATATGCCTCCGCGCGCGCGGTTTGCTTTAGTCACGGACGAGAACGCAAAAATCGTTCACCCATTTAAATAAAACGCGTTTCCCACCCACCCATCCAGCCATCCGCCCACCTCCGTTTCCCCACATTAACCTGGCTCCTGCTCCTCCCGATTGATTCCCTTCGTCCTCTTAGCCCAAAAACTGCCCCCAGCCCTAATCCAAAAAAAAAACCCGGCCACGAGCCTCACTTTTATTTATTACCGATTAGCTCGTAAGATGACGTTCTACCGAGGTATGCTATACTTATAAATACACCCTATATATAGTGGAGTAAGCAAGTTACATTACCTACCTACCTACCTATCCGCGCTTGACGGGTGGAACAAACAGAAGAAACACGCAATCATACATTTAAGTTGCTACTTGGCACGTATACCTAAGTAATATACTAACATAAACAGTATGCAATAACAAATAAATATGAGAAACGAAGGAGAGAGTCTGTTTTTGCATTTCCCTTCTCAACGCTTTTTCTATCCGCTCCCACGAAACTCCTCATTTCGATCATCGAATTTCGCATCTCACAAAAAGAACACGAGAGAAATGTAAGTGTTTCGAACGGCCCGAGAGTGGAGAGCGGCCGGTTCGTTATGCGAGATGCGGATAGGTGTCCGCTCGCCGCGTGGGCTTCGTCGCTAGCAGTCCGCTATCCAGCGGCCCCGTAAGATGACGTGGGGTGCAAGTGATTCGCGAAGTTCTTCGGAGATGGGAGGCTTCGACTCCGTGGTTTGGTGGGTCGCCGACTCGAATAAAGCGAGCTAGGTCAATCGAAGCGGCGGCCCTGCGGTGATGCACCGCTTCCCAGCGCCTCCGCGCTAGGAAAAGTTCCCCTTGTCGGAGGAGTAACGAGAATCGTAACGTTGCGCGGGCGACGCAGACTTAGGCGCGAGGGTAACTCGCGCGTGTAGTCGCGTATGCGGCGAGTATGGCTTCAGTAGCGGTAAAGAAGCGAACGGGGTTCGCTTGTATATGCTGCGTCTCTGGCAGCGGCTAAGTCCTAAGCGGACGTAAAGGCGAGCGTGGCTCGCGTGTATATGCTGCGTCCCTGGCAGCAGAGTTCCTGAGTACAACGACGACTCGCGCGGAGTCGGGAGCTCGACCGCAACAAGCTCTGGCGGCGTTAATACCCGGTATATGCAATACGGGAGAAGTCGCGAAGAGAGACGTCCACCGCGGTGGAAGCGTCAAGGCAATCCGAAGTGATCGCGCGAAGCCTTCTCTCAATCCTCGATCGTATTGAGAAGGTGGAGATCCGTGGAGTTACCATACACTTCGTAACCCAAACGCCAACGTGTCCTCGGACACTCTAGAGGCGATAGCCCAACGTGCTAGTGCACTCTAAAGGGCTGCGAAGCCTAAACCCGAATGCCAGCGTGTCTGTGGCCTGTATGAAGTTAGCCCCCCACTTTTCGAATTTATTAATTTTGACAGTTGTGCTGATTTGTGCTAGGTTTGTGCTACATTGTGCTCGAATTATAAATTTTTAATACGAAAAATGAGCGAGAAAAATGGAAAAAACCGTTTTTTTTTGGTAGCCCCCCACTTTTTGATTTTCGAAATTTTTTTTATTGTGCTAGGTTGTGCTAAGTTGTGCTAACATTGTGCTAAAGTATTATCTTCGAAAAATAATCATAAAAGGAATAAAACGAAAAAAACGATTTTAGGCAGAAAAGAAGAAAAGTAAGATTTATATTCGTATAAGTCAACCATACAATATATAATTATATATCTGAGTTGCTCTAGGCTAGCACAAGTCAGCACAAGCTTCAGTTTCGCGAACACTAGAATTTAAAGGGCACTTTACTCTTGACCG